CTTTGCAGCTGTGATAAAGTTAAAGATGTTGAGTTGAGAAGAATATCCTGGATTATCTAATGTATGGATACAATTATCTCATGTAAGGAAAAGTCAGAGACAAAGAAGATATGAGAAAAGTAGCAGAATTAGAGTGGGGTAATGTGAGAGAGACTCCATCTGCCTTTGCTGGCTTTTTAAAGATGGAAGAGGACCAAGAGCCAAAAAATGTGGGCAGATTCTAGAAGCTGAAACGGACAGAAAACAATCTCCCCTAGAGCCTCCACAAAGGAACACAGTCCTCCCGACATTTCATTCCAGTGAAAATCATTTTGAACCTCTGACCTTCAGAACTGAAAGATAACGTATTTATGTTGTTTCCAGCAATTAAATTTGTTGTCACCGGTTTTAGCAGAAATAGAAAACTAATACAACATACAAGCTATAAATGTTCATGGCCTCTTGAGCCTAAAGATATATGATGCAAAAATCAACAGGATTAAAGTGAGAGAGAAATGTTCACATCATGGTAGAGAGTTTTAACACCTCTCACTCTGATAAAACAGCTATACAAAAAAAGTAAAGACAGAAGATTTAAACAACACTGTCACCTCCCTCTATCTAAATGACATTTATAGAACACAGCATTCTATGACTGCAGAATACACCTGCTTCTCATACACACTGTGTAGTTACTGAGATAGATCAGATGCTGGGACATATATCTCAATAAATGAAAAAGAATAAAAAAATCACACAATGGGGTATTTTTGAGCAAAACTAAATTACATTAGAAATAAAATAACAGCAAAATATCTAGGAAAACATTAAATACCTGGGGATTAAATCCTTACAAAAAACTATGGACCAATGATGAAATCACGAGAAAAATTAGAAAATATTTTCAACCATTTGAATGACAACAAAAATACAACATACCATAATTTTGGGGCTGCACTGAAGTATTGTTTAGTGGGAAGTTTAGAGTTTTATATGGTTATATTAGAAAATAAGAAACATCTAAAGTAAACGACCTAATATTTCACTTCAAGAACCTATAACCAAAGATCAAAGCAAGTCCAAAATATATGGAATGGAAATAATGAAAATAAAATGGAAATCAACAAATTAGAAAACAGATTTATATATAAAGAATGTAAATTAACAAAGCCAAAAGCTAGTACTTTGTAAATATCAACAATATTGGCAAATCCTTGGTTAGAAAAAAGAAAGTCTTCTAGAAAATAGTGCTGAATTATTTCGATAGATGTATGAAAAATAATATATATCGACTCCACAAAAATGAATCCAAAATAGATCATAGACTTTAATGCAAAATCTAAATCAACAAAACATTAAAAAGAAAGCCTAGAGGTGCCTGGATAGCTCAGTTGGTTTAGGCTCAGGTTATGATCCCTGGGGTCCTGGGAACCAGCCTCATGTCAGGCTCCCTGCTCAGAGGGGAGTCTTCTTCTCCCTCTCCCTATGCTCCTCCCCACTGCTTGTGCTCTCTCTCCTAAACAAATATATAAAATCTTTAAAAAAAAATAAAGTAAAATAAAATAAAATATAAACAAACAAACAAACAAACAAATAAATAAATAAATAAATAAATAAAATAAAATAAAAAGAAAGCCTAGACATAAATCTTTGTGGTCTTAGGTTAGGTAATGATTTCTTAGATGGAACATGAACAATATCATATATGCATCCAGTTTGAAAAGGTGGACTTGAGCAAAATTAAAATCTTTTGCTCTTCAAAGAAACATATTTATTCCAGATAAAAAGAACAACTATGTCCACGCAATGTTCAAAATGCTCACAAAGGGTTTTCGTAATAGCCCCACACTGACAACAACCAAATGCCCATCAACACGTGACTAAATAAACAAACTCTTTTATCCACACAATGCAAAGACAAGAAAACATTATAAATTTTTGATTCATATTCAACATATCAATGTGTGTTGACTGAAAGTGCTTAGCGAAAAATTAAAATTAAAGTAATGCATGATCCCATCTATATAAAGTTTTGGAAGTACAACTAAATTATAGTGATAGAAAGTAGACTAACGGTTGCCTGAGGAGGAGAGTGAAAGAATAAATGCATTACAAAGGAGCTTGAGAAAATTCTTGGGGGTGATGTAAATGTTTGTCTAGATGATTGTGATAGATTTGCGGGCACATCCATATGTCAAAATTGATCACATTTTGCCCTTTATATATTGGCATTGTACTGTGGTCCAACTATATTTCAATAAGGTTGTCAACAGGGGATATTTATTTTTCTAATTATTTCTACTAAAGAAGAATAAATATTAATTTTTTAAAAAAGGAAAAATTCATCACATGTTCTAAAAGCTATCAATAAAACAAAACAAAAATTATTCTTAAAACAATGGTTTAATAGTTGAAAAAAACTATTTTATTACTTTCAAAATAGTTTTGCCTAGCCAGCTTCTAATCAACAAAAAACAACAATCTCAAGGAATGTTCAAAGAATTTTCATAACATTCTTTTAAAAAGCAAGCTGTTTTTATTATCCTTCCTAAATAAGAGATACTATATAATTTGCTTGTGAGCTTTATTCTAACCATTTACTTCAGAAAATTAAACAGGCTGACCAATGTCTAAACCTTTAAAGCAAAGAGGGAATACCTCTGTGATCAAAAGCAACTTGTACTTTGTTATATCAGTCCTTGAAAAACACAGTGCCTTAAGTATTTTTTTTGTATTAAAGTATTCATGTTATTAAAAGATCACAAGGACATGCAATTTGTACTGCAACATACAATCATGTGTTTACCCCATTATTTTTTACCTTGGTGAAATCACTAATATCCAAAAATCTCATGTCATTTTATATCAGCATTTCACATTATATTGATATTATTCTCCATCGATCACTTTGAAATTTGAATTCAAGTTGAGGTTGATTTAAATCTCCTTTAATCCAGTGTTCTAATAAAGCATGAGCTCTGTTGTATTCATTTTTGGTTCACAATCACTCAGTACCAATTCTAAATCTTAAACAGCTCAATTAAAAGACCCTAGGTTTGATCTAGTATGGCTTTTTAGAATTCTTTTCAATGAGGTTTTAAAACATAGACACAGAAATTATAGATCTTAATTTAGCTTTTTATTTATTTCATAATGAAAACTTAGGTAGGTGTCCATGGAGGGCAATTTAAAAGTTTTAGGACACCTTTGAAGGATGTGGCTATGCTTGAGTAAAAGCATTTTTAAATGGTTAAGTATGATGAAGCCCCAAGAATTTCTTCCTTCAGCCTTCTTAATTTACATATATGGAAACTGAGGTCCCAGGGATGCAGGTCACATAACTAATTAGCACCAATCCTAGCACTGGTATAGTAACCTAATATTGCCTGTATGACCCAGTCTGCTATACTGTGTTTTGGAAACATCGACAATGCTATTTCTCATGAGCTCCACTTTTCTGAGTACCTACAGCAGTGATTTAGTAATAATTCTATGATATGTCAAATAAGCTTTTAAATATTTACAAAATGCAAAGAAAAAAAAAAGCCCTAAGTTTTATTAAGGGAATATGATTCCTACTACATTTTTAGTACGGTGAGAAGACGCTGGGAGTATTCTATGAACTTTCCCTCCAAACTGGTTGGGCAGCTCTAATATAATTCAAGTTTAATTAAATTTTTGCTCATGTAGGTCCACATTAAAGAAAAAGAAAAAATAATAAAGTAAATTTTGGATTAAAATACATATTTTGAATTATAAAATATAAGCAAACATGTTGAAAGTTTGAGAAATATTTATAATTTGCTACAAATGTTGACTTGAAAAAGAAATTTATATATACTAATATGTAACATATTAATATGCATATATATAATATAATGGGAAAATAGTAGAAAACAGTATTATGAAAAAAAGCTAAATAAGTTATTAGCATCACTTCTTCCTCTGTATGTCCTGAATAATATCATGGCATTTTTTGTTTCTTTTTTTTTTTTTGAGATTTATGATGGCAATAAAACAACTTCCTTGGAAGTTCTCTAACTTTAGCAAATGAAATCTATAATTTGTGAAATAATTATTTAATATCCTTCATAATTTGTTTATAATTGTTTAATTGGCCCTTCCATGAATTTCTTAACAAGGACACTTATGAATAGGTAAAATAATATGGATTATTTGTGTCTGTTCTTGAGGAAATATTTGCTTTCTAAAGACATTTTCAACAAGAAAATACATCTTATTTCATAGTTATCACTACATTCTATCAATATTAATGTACTAGAAATTCACCAATAGAAATGCTTTGTCAATAAGAGCATCTTACACACTCCCACTATGATAGTTATGTCTTCTTGAACATCAGAGGATCGCCAACATTGACGATTCCTAAATATTTATTGAAAATAACATTTAATTTCTTCCTTTTTATGAACATATATGTGAAATTATTCTAAAATCTCATTGAGTGATGTAAGGTGGATTGTGCATGTACATTAGTCCTCATATTCCACCAATCTTACATCTGTCATAATTCCTACTTACAAACAATAAGCATTATTTGGGTAAAATATGAATGCTGATACATTAAATCATCTTAAAAATACTATTTCATATCTTATGAGGATGTAAAATAATTCAACAAAATAATTACACAGGTGAAACGCAGGACCATTAATATTATAAATCAACAGAGAAAACTCTAAGGAGGTACCAACCAATTACTGATAACTAATACAATTCAATTTATATTGTGTTTGGGTTAAACACACTGCAAAAAAAGAAAATCACAATTTTCAGAATAAGTAGTATCAAAACCATTAAATACATAGCACTGTGAAATGTCCTATAACATCCACTAGATGTCTCTAATAACTGACTCTGAATGGCTACATTAGTTCTAGAGAAATGAGTCAAATACTGAATCATGAACTCCAGAGGTATTTTGAGGATCCTACCAAAATTCGTATTTTCCAAAGCAGACAAAATTGTTTTAATAAACATATGAAAGAAAAATAACTTACATTCAATATCAAGGTACATGCTCTTTTGGTGCCCTCCAATCCTACTCGCAGCTTCACAGTCATATCTCCCTGAATCTGACAACTTCACATCTTTAATATGCAGTGATGAGCTTCCATGGTGCCCTTTGACTTCGATACGGCCATCTGGGCTCTGTTTACATCGATTCAGGAAAAAGAAAGATTTTACGCTTGTTTCGTGCAAATGATGACCAAACATAGGGTGTTTATCACATACATGATAAATGAAAATAAAGTCTTACCTGCATTACTCTTTTTTTTTTTTTTTTTTTTGAAAGCAATGTTTCCGTATTTATGACTTACTGTTTTTGGCTTTTCCACTGTACCTGCCCACTTGCTTACAGGGACACTAACATGTAGTAAAAACTTCAACACATGTTTTATCAACCTCTTATTTAGTGCACTCTGTGCTTTTTTTAAAAAAGCTTGCTTGTTCTAAGAAGGGCTTTGTTGGCTTACAATTATGCTCCTTGCAAACATAACAGAACAACAATGCCTGTTTAATTCTGGCTGAAACCCACCAGAAAATGATATTCCTCCTTCACTTTAGTTTCCTCTTTCACCATGTATAGACAATATATCAAGATGTCTGAGAATTAAAGCCTTTAATAAGAATTTATAGTTATTTTTGAATGAACGAAACAGCACTGTTCCTAAGCCTATTTAGTACATTACTCATAACAGATAAATTACTAAAAACAGCACTATTTAAGTCATTCTTAGAAAGTCAATAGAAACACCATGGAAAAGATTAATCACATATTAGATGAATATTGATGCAAATCAAGGAATTGCTGATAATCCAATAGCCTATAGATTACATTTCAAATAAGAATTCTTGTGTGCAACCTAATTGGTATACCTACAATTGTTTTCTTAAATCACTTAAATACCTTTATAGCATACATATTAAAACAAAGACAGTTTATTTACCAAATTTTACTTTGTACAATCAGGAAATATAGTGAAATTTGGCATTTTATAATTAATTTGTAACATGTACTTTACTATTATTGAATTATTTTCAATATTTTAGGTTTCGTGCCTCAATAAAAACTTATGTCACACATTTATTTTGAAATATGTAAGTTATTATGTAATAATATAATGGTGGTTTAAGGGTGCCTGGGTGGCTCAGTTGGTTAAGCGACTGCCTTCGGCTCAGGTCATGATCCTGGAGTCCCGGGATCAAGTCCCGCATCGGGCTCCCTGCTCAGCGGGGAGTCTGCTTCTCCCTCTTACCCTCCCCCCTCTCACGCTCTATCTCATTCTCTCTCTCAAATAAATAAATAAAATATTTTTTTAAAAAATGGTGGTTTAATTTTCTATATAATTGAAATTCAAATAAATTTCAATACCTGTACTTTGTATTATTAAAACTTGTTTATTTTCTTTTATTAATGTCAACAGACTATTTGAAAGCTCTTTTTCAAACATGAAGTTGATTGAAATACAACATGATCACTCTTTTGTTTTCCAGTTTTATACAGACATGCAATTACTATACAACCATATCAGTCACTCATAATTCATTTACTACCATTATCGTAAAAATGTTCTTCAAAAACAAAGAAACAAAAACATGCTGGGAATGTATTATGCAACCCAGATCAGGCCAAAAATATGTCCCCCAACTCTCAAGTATTACTAAAAAATAGTAAGGTGAGGCTTTCAAGCAGAAGGCATTCTCTTCTGCCAATATTTAAGATGTTCGGCTGCCAACCCAATTACTTACTTGAGAGGAAAGAAAAAAATGCAGAAACTCACAGACGTTAAAATTAGAATAAGTAAACTCAAAAGCAGAATGGCCAATTTGTTATACAAATTAACTACTTTTTGATAACTAAATGGGTATTAGTTCCTTATTTTATTGTACCTCTATCTATCCTTGTCCCCCACTGAACTACCCTTCCTTCCTTAAGCGCAGACTTCCTTTGGCTTTCAGAACACCCACACTCTCTTTTGTCTTCTGACTACTTTTTAGTCTGGGTTGCAGCTTCCTCTCTCCCTGGGGGCCTCTGGCTTCTGTCCTGGACGCACCCAATGCACTCTACCTAGACACTCTCATCCCCTCCCATATTAGCAGTTGCAATCTCTAGTCACTCCTTCTCCAGGCAGGATCCCGCTTTCCCTGGAGAGCTATGGAACCAGCTTTGTCTCTTTCGGGGCATGCCCATTTGATAGGTTTCTCAAACCAGCATGCGCAGATCTGAACATATCACTCCCTCACCCAGTATAACCTGCTCTACTCCTGCGGTCTTCCCTTCCATGAATGGTACTAATTATTTCTCATACCCGTGCTAGACCATGTCTTCAGTCTTGGATCAGTTTCTGAACCTTTATCTATTGAAATTTTAAATGATGATAAATCTCAGTTTATCATCTTGCTCAACATTACCATTTTCGATGTTTAGTAACTGTATTTCCATGGACCTATCTGCTCTCTGCTTCACCTACTTGCAATCTGTCATGCTGTTGAATTGGAAGAACACTAACGGGCTTCTCTGGATTTCAGAGAGAACAATCACACTCAGGGCGAATGTAACCGAAAAACATTCCCTGACTCTGCAAAAACCATCAGCATTATGTTATTTCTTATGTTTCTCTAGCAAAGTCTCATTGCAGATGCAGAAATTATTTCTTGCATAGCTAAGAATAAGTTTTATAAAAAGCAAACTTAATTCTCATAACAACTTCATGAAGGTTTCATATCCCCTGTGCTCTATAATCATGAATAACATTGTACTGACGTCCGAATAAACTCCCAATGTCTCAGCCTGACATTTAAGGACTTCCATCTGACATTGCCTTTCTAAGACATCACTTTTCTGTCTAAGCACACTTCACAATTTGGATACCATTAATTTGGCTTCCAATTAATCTGAATTACTGTCATTTCCATAAGCACCCTACACAGCCCTGTCTCAACCTTTCCCCCCTTACCTCTTCCATATTTACATGGCAGGATTCTCTCATCATTCCTTTAATTTCTTGGGAAAATATTAATTTTTATTCAAAATAAATTGACTATTTTATATAATTATTAAATGTACTACTTTGTGCTTTTCTTAGGATACACTTTTTCTAATCTTATTGGAACTTCAGAATTCATCCTGTAGGGTGATATTATAGTTGAACAAATGTGAGAACATTTTTATTTTTATGGTACTTTATGTTAAAGTCACCTGGACTAGTACCAAGGACAGAACCATTATATTCTAATATCTTTAAAGCAAATTGAGTTATAGTGATATTGAGATGTAGTTGAGTAAAGGAAAAGTATTCCTCTAGCTATTATTTACTATGAATTGAAAACTTTCATTTAGTATTTTTATTAATGGGATAAAATAACTTATTAATGATACAAAACAAATTCTTCATTTTTCTATTAAGAAAAATATTGTTCTTTCACAGAATTGAAAGGCAAATATACCTCCTTTGAAAGTAAACAAGTCCTCATGTTATTACCTGTTGTAAATGATATGGTTTTTGACTTACAAAAAGCTATTGGTGTCTGTAAAATTAGTATGATATTCGTAAAGATGTTGGAATCAAAAAGTTATTTTCAATGTATCTGGAATTATTAACAGAAATTCTGGAAGAACAGAATTTCTTTGGGAAGGTGTGTAATTCCCTGGGAAATCATAAGTCATTTTCAAACTTGACATTGGCTCTATAATAATTACAATATTCATTTGTCTCAAATACTTACACTAGAAGACCAAAGCCATTCCTTCTCATACCTGACATTCCAAAGGACATCTTTCTCTTTGTGCTACAAAAAAGCATTACACATTTCTGAAAGAAAATTAATTTATATCTTGGCTTTGATTCACAACCTACCAACATTCATTTAAGACATCTGATATTTGATTGAGACAGGTTAATGGGCATATTAGCTGTCCATCTAGTATTTTCAGGTTCTATCACTGCATTAAGTAAGATGATTAGAAAGTAAAGTGCCTGACTATACATTATTATTCCAATCCTTTATAGAAAGGCACTCTTTGAGATTTGATTTAATGTTATATTCTTTGCCTTTCCAGAAGGTCAGTTTAAGAACTGCTTATTTGAATAGTATTTCAATATTTTTATAAAATGGTTATTTATAGAATTTACTGAAAAGAAATGGTTATTTACAGAGTTTACCATCCTTTCAAGAATCACTTGATGAAATATCTATGTGGTAACTACCTTCTGGAGTTTAGTTCCAACACAAATATTTTGTTGTCAATTTTAATTGCTGGACATTTGAAATTATGCAATGTATCATGTTTATAGGTTGTTTTTGTGACCTTACCTGACTAGACATTTACTGTCAAGTTTAGAACCCAATTGTAGTACATAACACATCTGAGGTGACAGTATTCCCCATCTTCTTCAAACCAATGCCATTGACCTCTTTGGCCTTTTGGGAGATTGGTGAATCATGTCACATAGTTACTCAGCAATTGTCTTCTTGTGCAATTATTCTACAAGGAGCACCCAAGCACTGGGGATACATGTTGGGAAAAACTGAACAATTTTTACCCTTTGGGAAATTAAAGTTCAGCAGATATTAATTTAAAAAAATCATACAAGTAAACTGAAAAGTACCATGTAGTAACACCAAAATTTCATCTTATGGGTGAGTCAGTGGAGGGGTGGGGTTGAGTTAGAGGAATGTTCCCTGATAAACTGAGGTGTGGATTATGAACTGAAAATAGTGAAAGAGGAGCAGTTTTGTAGAGATAATTTTAAGGCCATGCCCCCAGAAGGCATATGAAGGAACTGAGAGAAGCCAGCAGGCACAGAGAAGAGAGTAAGGGCACGTGGGATCTCCTGATGTTGGACAGGCAAGCAAAGACAGCATGCTGAACCCCAGGCAAATACAGACATACAGGAAACATGCACCCCCTCATTACACATTCTGGTTGCCTTTTTGTAATGGCATTATATCTCTTTTGACTGTAAATTGCAACTTCAAATACTTAGAGATAATGTCAAAACATAACTGCTAATTATATAAACAAGGAAATACTTTCCAAAGGTTACTGGCATTAATTTACCCAAACTAACCTCTCAAAATTGTGTTAACATTCTGTTAAGTTGAATAATTTCTGCAAAGAATTTTAAACAGAAAGATTCTCTTCC